ACCAGGGAAGTGTGGAACTTCGTCCCCTGAATCATCGCGAGTTTAAATGTTTCTATAGCAGTCACGGGATGACAATCTGCTATTTCCGAGGCTTCCATGTTGAATCTAAATAAGAAATTCTGCAATGTTTCCCCCTTCTTTTGCCTTACGATGAAGAAGCTGGCAATACTCTTCTTTTGCTTCTTATTTTTGCAATATTGTGCCAGGAACATAGTGCACAGAGTTACGTAATCCGGAATGGACTTATGCGGCCTATTCCTGAACCACTCCAGTGCTGCTCCTGTCAAGCTGGTAAGAAAAATTCAGCACGTTTAAGGGTCATTACGATCATCCAAAGCCATCTTTTGGGCGTTATGATCAGGTGTCGAGAAGGATCCCCCGTTCCATCAAACTGGGTAAAAGAAGGCATAGTAAATTTCTTGGGCCTCTCAATCAAATACACATCGTCAGTGAAAAGAATTTTGACCGAGGAATTTTTGTGCTCTCTAGCCATCTCAGCAGGTGTCTGAATCTTCAAGAGTCTTTTCTCATTAAAAGCATCCTGAACACCTGCACCATCTAGAATTCCATTGGACCACACCGTGAGCTTATAGCTAGACTCGACTTGCTCGTCCTGCGTGCGACGAGGGACGTTGTCTAAAGCCACAACCTCGGATCTTGCCCTCTGTTGTTGCTGAACCTCATTTGGCTGAGCCTCGTTAGGTCGTGCCCCATTAGTGGCGGTGGTGCCACCCATTGGTGGCGGTGGTGCCAACTGAGCCATCGCCGTTTGCAGAGTGTTATTCTGCTGCTGAAGCAAGGCGATCTGAGCCACGCTTGCTTCGTTTGCCGGACGAAGTACGTCAAACTGGTGTAGAAACTCTTCACGCATCTTCTGCATCAACTCCGTTTGTTGATCCGTTGAAGATCCTCCGTTTGACATTCAGGATGGTAGTTGCAGAATTCACCTGTGAAACAAGAGTGGGAATATATTTGCACACGTTCCCACAGACGACGCCAAAGTGTAGGTACAAAATTCCGCTCAACCAATTACGATTAAGAGAAAATAATACAACACACTCAACAAACAATAAAAACAAACAAGAACAGTGTCTATAGAAGAATTAAATTGCTTCCCTTTTATTGGAGGTCTATGCCTCTATTTATAAACAAAAGTTGGTATAATTATGGTAGGACTCGCGTTGCTTATCCTCCAATTCTTCCCATACATAACTTTCTTTACAAATAGGGTTCTTTCCATTGTATGATATTTCCTACATAGAACTTGCTTTGTATAAAAACTTTCCTTCCGGGTTGACTCCTTTGCTTAATAGGACTGAGCCATATTTAATTATATTTAGGCCGGATGTGGTTTGGTGTAAATGGTTTGAACAATGGACCAAAACTTCAATAGCGATGACGTTGGGCTGATCGATACTCTTACCTGGCTTTAGAGGCCCAACATAAATGATAATTGGTTAAAGCACAGCGCAACTTGGGCTCAATCTGGATGGGTTTCTGAGACCTCCCAAATGTAGATTTGTATAATGGTGACGTGTTTCATTCTTATTGGAGGGAGATTTTTCCCTCCACATCCTCCATATATGATGATGTAATAAAAGAAAAGACTAAAAAAAAAAAAAAAAGAGTAATATAGTTCTTATAAAATATAAATAATTTGATTCTCACACTTTCACGTTCAAGGAGATCATGATTGCTATAAACATTACAAAACAAAAAAACACATACAAGTATGAGACGGCCGCGTACATTGCACTTGCAGCTGCACGTTTTAAACTGGCTTCCACAGTTGTAGCAAAAATTGGTCCCACATCTACATGAAGATATATTAAAATTAAATATTCAAAAAACGAACTTGAAATGAAATAAAGAAAGTGATGTATTTAAATACTTATATAGAGCGAGAGAGAGTGAGTAACCTGCATATAACACTACTGCAACCTGTAACACGTTCAATGCAATGGAGGCAGCGGGGACATCTCTTCCAATAACGGAGGCAGTAGAGGATCTTAATAGTTGAAGGAGGGTGCTAAACACAGTCGCGGGCGCGACTGTCGAATCTCAATCGCAACTTTAGTTGTTGACGCGTGTATTTTCTTTCCCAATAATTAATTATTATTTATCTGCCAACTTCCTTTTGGGACTCTTATGTATAATTACTATACTAGCCTCTTATCCTTAGAAAGAAACTGAGAAATCATTTGCGAAAATTCTCTTTTTAGAAACCTCCACGGTTCCATCTCACTCTAAATTTTTTTTTTTTACAAAAGTCCATATCTAAATGTTTGAAGTTCAACTCTAAAATTTTCCTTTTTACAAAAGTCCATATCTATTTATTCAGATCCGTATTCTTTGTATTGGAAGTATTGCTCTGGTTTTTCAGATTAAAAAATATAAAATAAAAAAAAATCAGGTAAAAAAGTATTATAATCCGGTTCTCTCTCTAAAATTTCTTTTTTTGAAGTTAAATGTTTGAAATTCAAATCTGATTTTTTCAGATCCCTATTCTCTGTTTCGAAGTATTTGTTTGTTTTTCAAAAAAAAAAAAAATCAGATGGAAAAAAAGTATAATCTGGTTTTCTTGCATCCGTCCTTTCTCTCTCTAAAAAAACTAGCTTTCAGCTTCGATTCTCTTCAGATCTGATTTTTTCAGATTCATAGTCTCTATATTCGATGTATAGCTCTGGTTTTTCAGATCCAAGAGAAAAAGAAAAAAAAACTATGAAAATTCAGATGAAACCGTGAATGATTTCTCAGTTTCTTTCTAAGGGTGAGAGGCTAGTATAGTATAGTAATTATACATAAGGAGCCCCAAAAGTAAGTTAGCAGATAAATAGTAATTAATTATTGGGAAAAAAAATACACACCTCAACAGCTAAAGTCGACTGTGTTTAGTTGAAGATGCTATAGGGATAACAAAAATTTCTCAGAATCCAAATTTTATGAAATATCATCTACAGTGTCTTATAGTCTTCCTTGCCTTGGAGTACTTATTAAAAACAGAAGAGCTTCATCTTTAATGCTTTACGGAACATTATAATTTATTCCTAAAACAAAGACTAGATGAATTGGTCTGGTCTTTAGTGTTCTTCTCACCAACATACCCTCTTTCAACACTCTTACTTGTTTTTTATATCAATTCAAATAATAATTGTTCATAAATAAATGAGCAATATCAATTCAAATAATAATTGTTCATAAATAAATGAGCAATAATCTAGTGATTGAGCCAAATATAACAAGTGTATATGTGTTTACTTGAATTTTTAATCGTAATTGTCTTTCTTTATCTTATGATCACGCAAGTGAAATTTAGTCGGGTGGACAGAGACTTGAGAGCCGCACCATTTACCTTTGCACCTTAAAAGCTGGATTCCCCAAATTGCCATTAATACCTAACATTATTGAAATGACACTAGTTTAGTTACAACACTTCAATGATCCTCTCCATTAGGCGTTCTAATATTTGTACATTTTATATGATAATTTATCGTGTTCTCAATTATGATAGTATATTTATCAAAGATGTGGATTGACTCAATTACAAGCACGGTGTTGAATGGCATATTATGCGAGACGCTAGAAACCCTTGAAAATGTGTGAGAGAATTTGAAAATGTGTTGAATGGCATTCAAATATATATATATATATATATATATTTGAATGTGAGTCTTGTATATTTATTCATAAATGTTCTTCTAATAAAGCTTTGAATACTACACCAGTTAGAAGAAGCAAAAATAATAATTAAAAAAAAAAAAAGAAATAAAGAAAATGATCAAATGATACTATAATAATTTGTAAATCTCTAATATGTTTTAAACTTGATATAAATTATGCACATTGTCCATGTCTGGGTTCAAACTCCTCTCCGTTGTCTATATTTGGAGGGAGAGGAGTTTAAACCTTGAACCCAGACATGAACAATGTTAAAGCTTCTAAAAAAAGAAGAATTATTTTCATTAGGTTGAAAATAAAACAAATAAAATAAAACTAAGATTTGAGATCTCTTAGACATAAAAAGTGAATTGTTTGTTAGAAACATAAAAAAAAACACTTTGTTATATTCCTTATGACCCTTAAACAAATTCATGTCTCTCTCCCTCATAAGATTTATAAATATATTAACAAAATTAAAACACCTATTTTAATTTTGTTAGAAATTAAGAAAATGTGTCATGATATTCAGATATTTTTCTTTTTCATGACAAGAAAAAGACAACCACCCACACGCACTTTTTGCCCAGTTGGCCTCGAACCCCTCCCCTCCTCTTTGAGGATGGGAGGTCCATTGGCCTAAATGTTCATTAGTATTTATGTAAATTTTATTTTTATTAAAAAAAAAACATATCTAAATAAATAAATTTGGAATATATTGAAAATATTGGAGAATTTTGTTACTAAAAACTCCGAACTTGCAAGTTCACTAATTTTATAATAAGCTTCGTTCAGACGTAAAAATAAATAAATAAATAAAATAGAATAAAACAACCCGGAAAAGCTAGGAATTTGGAGGCCACGTGAGATTTGCATTGGTTGGTGGCTGAACAGTTGGGCATCGAATAAATCTCACAAATTAGAGAAGAAAAAAAAACTCCAATACTATTGCCCAAAAGTTAGAGCAAAAGGCCAATATAAGACCATCAAATTTATTTAAGGATGGCATATGGGCCAGTCAATTTGAATTTGATTACAGTTTTTTTTTTTCTTTTCTTTTCACACTTTTTTTAAGGTAAAAAACCAACAGCTCTAATTAATAAAAAATAAAAATAAAATAAAAATTTCCGAAGTTTAAGCAAAACTCATACACACTCTATATATATATATATATATATATATATATTTGATAAGTTTAACGAGTATTTGACCATTCAATCTTCTCATATTTCATCTCTCATAATAACTAAATTCATATGAGTTGTGAGAGAGAGACTCAATGACTTCTCTAATTTTCACCAATTTTGTGTCATAGTTGGACAATTAAACTACCACCCTACACTCCCTAGTTCCTAGTTTAGGAGGTAAGCAAATTAAATTTACTCCATATATGATGATGTAACAAAAGAAGAAGAAGAAAAAAAAAAAAAAAAAGGTAATATAGTTCCTATAAAATATAAATAATTTGATTCTCTCAATAAAACTTTACTTAGTTCAATTTTTTAAAAATCATGATAAGTATAACAGTGATTAGTATAAACAATACAATAAAAAAAAACATGAGACAGCATGCACAGCACTTGCGATTGCAGTTGCACCGAAGATTTTTAATCTCGCTTCCACAGACGTAGCAAAAATTGGCCCCACATCTACATTCAAAAAGATTAAAATTAAATATTCAGAAAACAAACTTGAAATGAAATAAAGAAGTTGATGTATTTAAATACTTATTACATAAAGCTAGAGAGAAAGAGTGAGCACCTGCATGTAACACTTCTGCAACCTATAACACGTTCAATGCAATGGAGGCAGCGGGGACATCTCATCCAATTTCTCCTCTCTACAAGTATTCCGAACTCAACATCATTCCTATTTCTAATCTCTCCACTCTCTTCGCATGGATAGCCGGAGTGCCATGGAAGCTTGCAGTGGAAACAGAACGGCCTCTTGCAATTGTGACACACTGATTTCTTAACATTCCCTCCACATTCGTTCACAACCAGAGCCGAGCAATTCGGATTCGGGCAGTAACATCTTTCCAACTCTAGAACGGCCGACTCGCACAGCACATCGCACCACTTGTCGAACAGTTTTGCTGGCACGACCGCCCTGCAGGAGAGAGGATCTAAGAGCTGCTCGCAATTCAGTGCCGGACATGGGACGTTGGCGACGCTGTCCTCCTCCACCTTCACTTGGATGTACTTCATCATGCAATCTGTGCAGAATGGATGAACACACTTCTTGTTGTTCTTGAATTTCTTGGTTGACGATGATAACATGGGTTCGATACATATCTCGCAAGTGAAGGTTGATGTGTCGTCTTCTTTTGATTCCTCTTCTTCCGGATGTCTCTCTTGGTTTCTCTGATTCTTTTGCACGGTGTTTCCCATAGTCTAATTCGATGTTCTGAGCAGAGCATAAGACGAAGAGGACTCGCATATGTGCTCTGTTTATATATCTCTATCTCTATCTCTATCTCTACTATTTTTCTATAAAAAGTCAAAGATTTTCAGATTTTTTTTATAGAAAGAGATATTTATTAATTGATATAAAAAATATATATTTATTAATGGACATAAAAAGAGTTTTTATAAAAAAAGATATTTATTAATGAAATAAAATGAGTTTTTATAAATAAAAAAAATAATTACCTAAAAATTTATTACTAATAATTTATTTTAGTATTTATATAAAAAAAATATTTATTAATTGATATAAAAATAGTTTAATCCAAATCACAAATTACCTAATAAAATTCAATTCAAACTCAATCACCACTTTCAAATTACCTTATAAAATTAAAATTACAAATAACCTAATAAAATTCAAATTACCTGTTTATCTATTTATTTCTAAAAAAATATTTATTAATTATCTGATAAAATTCAAATAAAAGGAAATCTATTAAACAATGATATATTTAAAGAAAATAAAATAATTTCTATAAAATTATACCACAAATTATCTATTTTATTTTTTATTAATTGATATAAAAAAAATTTAATTCAAATTACAAATTACCTAATAAAATTCAACTCAAACTCAATCACCACTTTCAAATTACCAAATAAAATTACAAATTACATAATAAAATTCAAATTACCTATTTATCTATATGTTTCTAATCTATATCTATATTTATATTATTATTAAAAGTGCAAAGAGTTTTAATGCTTAGTATTTTAGTATTTATTTTTTTTTTTTTTATAAAAACTCTATTTATTTCAATTAATAAATATCTCTTTTTATAAAAACTCTTTTTATATCAATTAATAAATATTTTTTTATATCAATTAATAAATATTTTTTTTATATCAATTAATAAGTATCTCTTTTTATAAAAACTCTTTGTTTATCAATTAATAAATATATATTTTTTAATAATAGTATAAAAAGTGTAAAGAGTTTCAGTATTTTAGTATTTATTTATTAATATAAAAAATATTTATTAATTGATAAAAAAGAGTTTTTATAAAAAGGGATATTTATTAATTGATATAAAAAATATTTATTAACGGATATAAAAAGAGTTTTTATAAAAAGATATATTTATTAATTGAAATAAATAGAGTTTTTATAAAAAAACAATTACCTAAAAATTTATTACTAAAAATTTATTTCAAGTGTTTATATAAAAAAAATATTTATTAATTAATATAAAAAGAGTTAATTCAAATTTCATATTACCTAATAAAATTCTAGCCATCCTTTCAAGTATTGATCTAGGTCCTAGATAAAATCTCTTCTTTCTACCGAGATTAAAATAAATCAACCTGCCTAATAAATTTTCATGAGTTATAGCCTTATAGGAGGGATCTATTTTTTTTTTTTTTTTCCTTTTTTATTTTTAAAATTTTTTTGGAAGTTAAAGCAATTATCAAGGAATGATATCGTTGGGCCATTTGATCATTTGGTAATTTTTTTTATCCCTTCTTACTATACACCACTGATCAAATTTTTTTTTGATTGGCCTGAAAAATAGATAGAAATCGGACTTCGGTCCTGTTCAATCCAAATCCAGGAAGAGAAGAATAACATATGATCCTATTGATAATTTGAAGGATAATATCTTATTGGAAAATCCAGATATCACACTGGATAACCCAATCTAAAAAAGGTAATTTTTTTTTTTAAACAATAATTTAATATGAAGAGAGAATAACAACCAATGATTAGGAAAGAAAAAGGGTGAAGCTATAAACAACAAAAATTAGTAAAAAAGTAGATACTTGACTTTTTATTAAAGAAAAATGTGATATACAGATATTATACTACCTCGTCCCTTTTTAATGGTCCATTCTTGATTTTATAACTTTTTAAGGAGACATGCAATTAATACATTGTTCCCTTTTAAAATTATCAAATTGTCCTTTTTAATTTAAATATATATAGTTACAAAGTTTGAAATTTTTTAAAAAGATAAAGGACAATAATGGAAGTATAAAGAAAAGATGCTTTGACTTTTCAAATAGGACAACTAATTTGGGACATGTAAAAAGAGAAAAATGGACTACTAATAAGGGACGGAGGGAGTATATTATAGTATTATATTATATTATATAGGGTAAAATGTAAAAAACCCTTCAACTATTGGCCATGAAGCAGAAAACCCCCCTAATCTATTAATTTGACATATAACCCCCTTAAACTAACCAATTTGGTGCAATTAACCCCGTCCGGGGACAAGTCCGTTGAATTTGACCGTAAAGACGCACATGATGGGTCACGTGACTATTCAATTTTTTTTAAATGACCATACAACCATTTAAGCTAAGTGAATCAAATGACACATGTACCATTATTATTGTCTAATCCCGGAATAGTGCTTGAGCCGCAACCAAACAGGGCGTAAGTAAAACCCAAACACAATATACAATCCAAAAAATGATAATAAAAAAAAAAAAAAAAAAAAAAAAAAAAATCCAAAATCGAGCAAGAGGGGTCGGCTGTGAAGAGCTCGTCCGCGATAGAGGGGTCGGCTGTGAAGAGGTTGTCCGGTGAGGGTTTGACCGGCGATGGAAGAAGAAGCTCGGTTGTGAGATTGCGACGCGGCGCGGCTCGGCGGGATGGAACAGCAGTGGCCACCACTGCAGCAGATCGATTTATTGAGGACGATTTGGTAACCACCTGCAAATCAAGACCGGTGGTCGTGTTGTGCGTTCTTGGTTTTCAATTTGGGGTTTAGATTTGGTGTTCGTAGTGGTGGTTTTCTTGCAGTGTAGATCAAAACCCGCAGCCACTGCCACCTCTTCGGCTTCACTGCTGCCGGAATAACCAATGGCTCCATCGCCGAATGAACCCATTTTGTCGCATATTTGATCTACTAATTTTTCTTAATCGGGTGGAATCAAATGCAGGACCTTTGTTTGCACCATCACAACAGAGATCGTGAGGAAGAGGCGAAGCCGCTTGTTGGCTTTTCAAACGTCTTGAATGCTCCTGCCCAGAAGCCGTGTTGGGACGACTGGGAGTCCTGGCAGAGAGGTTGAATTGATTTTAGAAACCGGCAAGCACTGAATCACACCAGTCGCCGTTCTTGTCTCTCGACCACCATTGATGCCGTTGAAGCTTCGTGATTAAGGTGCTCGACCCATAGCGCATATACGACTCAGTTAATGAAATGGGTTGCCGTCACCGGAGAAGCTGCATGGCACGGTTCGGCGTGGGTATGTCTGTCATTGATTGAAGCTCCCCTCCATGTCACTATGGTCATAAGGTTGCTTTTATAAGGGTAAAATTGTCTTTTATTATTTCCGTTTACACCAATTGGCTGGAGATGTCATATTGGGGGTCAATTGCACCAAATTCAATAGTTCAAGGGGACAAATTGTAGTTTGGGGGGTTAATTGCACATGGCCAATAGTTGAAGGGGGTTTTTTACACTTTACCCTATTATATATCATATTGGATCGGATTTTTCTTTTTTACCCTGGCAAGAAAATAAGCCAAACGCCGTTCAGACAAGAACATCAACAATAGATATAAAACCAAAAACATATTTAACACTAACCGTCATAGAATCAACCAAACCTAACTAACACCTATATGGTCAAGATCACAGTCTTGACAAACAAAGAAAAGGTGCCAGTTACAGTAGCAGAACCAGCACCATTACGCCAATCCCGAAGCGTATCCACTGCGCCAATCTATCAAAACCACACACGTCATAAGCTGCAACTCAGTATAACGCACTCTTCGAAAGAAGCTTTGCAGCACCGCCGTAGAAGTCTAGTTAATGAAGTCAAGGTAAGGGCCACTGCAAGCAAGGAATATCATCATCAAAAAAATCTGGGTACACATCAGGCATGACGTAACAAATTCGGCTTCCAAACAATAAAAATCTGACCACCAAAGCCGACCACCACCGCCATATTTCTGCCCAACCAGAACAGTGCCTCACCGTCAAAAAAACTTCAGTATCAACCACCCCACAAGCAGTTGTGGAAACCGGTGCCGCCAAAATCGCGTCCCCAACTCCCCCCCCCCCCCCCCCAAGCAACTCGCAAACAAAGACAGTGGACTCCCAATCAACCCATCAAAGACAACCAAAAGAAGACACAACCCCAAGGTCTATAAAAAAGGGGGTTCCAACTACTGTGCATGCCCCTTCACATTACGTTTACACACAATTTCACACGCCGATGCTTCCAGAGACCACCACCACCACACATCGACCGAAACCGAACAGAGCATCGCTGGCCAAAAAGACCCTTCCGGCAACTAAACCACCGCATCTGGGAGAATAACGTTCTGCCAATATCTCGTCCACAACGCCCCCCTCCATCGGCTACCCAACAGAGCCAGTGAAATCCCAAGCATAACACCACAAACCCCCACAACAAATCGCAACCAAAGCCAAACCCGACCAGAAACCAAGCAACAATGAAGAACACCACAAAATGTCCAAATTACTATCATCATCCTATCACATAGCCCAAATTCACCCAAGACAAACCTCCAAGAATCCTGGATATAGACAAAAAAACCCAAAGGACAATAAAACATGAAGTACAACAACGACAGAGAGCTCTACCAAAACCAAAGGAAAATGGTGAACTTTGTGAACACAATACGAACCCTAGAATAGCTACAGTCCAACGACAATCGCTATGCAGATAAACCCGTGACGACACCTAGACACCTAAGCAAAGAGAAACAGAACAACGTCCTAAAAAATAGAGACCTTGGTACACAGAAATCACTACCAAAAGCCACCCAAGAGATGGGAAAGAAGAGAAAAAAAACGAAGGAAACAGAGAGTAAGCACGAAATCGGAATGACACAAGCAAAGCGGATTCCAAAAAAACCTATATGATTTGTTTTATCTTCGAATTCACATCATTAACGGATTTTAGATCATTAATGGATTATCAAATTGAATGTTTTAATCCATATCTTATTTATAAGGGTTAATTTCACCTAGACCTTTTGAGGTTGACTGATATTTCACCTATATGATTTTTAGCGACCACTTAGACCCCAATTAGTGGCTTAACATTTTAC